AACAGTGAAGTCATCATTTTATAATGTAGAGTCGCCTGTGTATTTGGAGGTGGGATTCGAAGCCCCAACCTGCTCAATGAGCCTCCTTTAAGCTGCATATACAATCCTGTATTTTATACAGAACTCAATGTTTATACAACCCAAATTAAAATGACAACAAAAGATTAGTAATTACTTCTTTTTTTTAAAAAAAGAAAAACTTTATTAATATTAATGAACAGCCAATAACACTTTGGAACAATTAATAAAATGTATACATGCATTCCAGTAGGGAAAATATATAAAATGACTATTAGACCATATTCTTTATTCTGCTTATATTAGTATAGTATGTCCTGGAATGAACAGTTCATATTCAAATCACTAGTTAAAATATTCTATAAAAATCTTATAAAATACTACAACTAAAAAGGTGTTTTAAAACTGCAAACAGTTAAATGATTAACTTATGAACCATTTGAATCACTGTACTGATCTGTGGAGCAACCACTGGAAAAAAAACACAATCACCAATCTCACCAAGCAGTCTGCTGAAGATGTGAGCAGCAGTACTCCGAGTGGCCTCTGGGGGCAGCAGAGAGTGGAAGAACATGTGTCCATAATGATTAAAGTGGTGGGCTGCCATCCTACAGACACAGGGGTGTAATATTAATAATCAGCATACTCTCCCTGCGCAGCAGGATGGTGATACTGCAGCAGCTCCCTGACTTTACCTGAGCACACTCTCTGTAGTCACCTCCCCCCACTTGGCCTCTGCCTCAGGCAGCTCCACCATCTCCTCGGGGATGCCCTCCAGATTGGGAGGAGTTTCTAAGATCGCAGACCTGTGGAAAGGCTGAGGGTAAGATGTATGCACACTGAGAAAGTACCAAGAAAGCCCAGAATGGCAGCTCTGTCCTCCAAACACTGCTTACCATCTGTCTGAGGGACTGACAGACTCATGGGCTCGGCCCTCCCTGGACCGTTCCCCCCTGGACCACTCCTCCCTGGACCGCTCCTCCCTGGACCACTCCTCCCTGGACCGCTCCTCCCTGGACCGCTCCCCCCTGGACCGCTCCTCCCTGGACCGCTCCTCCCTGGACCACTCCTCCCTGGACCACTCCTCCCTGGACCGCTCCTCCCTGGACCACTCCTCCCTGGACCACTCCCCCCTGGACCACTCCCCCCTGGACCACTCCCCCCTGGACCACTCCCCCCTGGACTCTTCCAGCCTCACCTCAGTAAGTGCTGGAACAACAGAAACATTTTGGTTCAGAAACCATTTTTTGTACTTTCAACCACAACCAAAGTAAAAGACAAGCACCACTGGCTATAAAAAGCGTGAATCCATAAGTCACTATGGATCAAAGTGTCTGGTAACTGACAAAGTGTACGTTTATTAAAAAAAAAAAAAAAAAACTGAGGAAATTGTTTGACTCTCTCACAGTGACATCTGCTGGTGTGACGGGAGCTCACTGGCTGTGTGTTTGCATTCCGGCAAAAGTCCACATCTTTGTGGACTTTGTCACACTGAGGCCAGATGCAGAAGGCTGCAGGTCGACATGGTGGATGGTGACCTGCTGACATGTGACTCCTGAGTCTGCTCTGTGCCGCGTGCCGACTGCTGTTCTGCACAGAACATCACCGCCTTTTCGTCTGGTACCCCTTTTCTGAATGACGTCACCAGCTGTCCCAAACTAGTACCCCTCTCCTGATTATGACTGAGACTTCGGGTTACCAACCTGATACTTCAGAGGCAGTCAGTCCCGACTCGCGCAACTCTCTGGGGACCTACCGGGGGGGGGGGGGGGTCAAGCCTTATAATCAGCATTTAAGGTGCCTGCTTTACAGTATTTCCATTCAAACCATAATAAACTTCTTAAAAGCAACATTACAAATACATTAATCCAGTGTTTCCCAACCCTGGGAACCCCGGACAGTCCATGTTTTTGCTTCCTCTCAGCTCCCAGAGCACCTGTACCAGATATTTGTTGTTCCTGATTGGCTGGGAGCTGGGAGGGAGCAAAAACGTGGACTGTCTGGGGTTCCCTGAGGACTGGGTTGGGAAACACAGCATTAATCCACTAAAATACATATATTGTCCAGGTGAGAGAGAGATGGAGAATGCCGCTTCTTTCAAAAAGATGTATGACCTAAAGGTCAAAAGGTTACGGGTCAAAAGTTCACTTTGGGGGGGTGAACGGGGTTGGGGCGTGGTTGGGGTGGAGCCAGGTGACGCAACAACTAGTGACGTTGTTAATAATTTCCATATGTTGGGAGAGGGGGTTTTAGGAGTCAGAATGTCGCAGTGTAACCATGTATGTAGAACACACAACAAACAATAAACAAATAGTGCAAAAGGTGCAAAACATTCTGCGGTGCTATATACATATGGAAGGAATAAATAACTGTATAGGTTACTACCGCCTCCATTTCCCTTGCTTACCATTTCCCTTGCTTCATGTTACATTAACAAATTCATTCGATGAAATATTTTTAAAGACGTACAACACCCTTTTGCGATGCTGCTAGTTTTACATTTCAGTTCCCAAAAGGCAGAGTTTCCCCACTAGTCAACAATCTGCGTTTGTTGTAGACGTCCCTGACATTTTTATCGAGGTCTATTAAACAGGTGAAACGTTTTCACGTCGCGTTTGATTTTGTTATAGTGCGTCATTATAGGGAATTATCCCGCTGCCTTTCATTTAACACGCTTAACCTTCGGCCTATGTTAGCTTTCTGTTCCTGTCTCTTATGTTAGACGGGTCGGTGCCAAGCAGCACGTGTCTTACATCAGCCATAAGATACCCTCAAAACAATTATTTATCATCCAATTTGTTTCTTACTTCTTGGTTACCTTGTTAGGCTTCCTTATCCATGAAGAGAATTGTTTTAATATTTTTGGTGTGGCTTTCTGGACCTTTTCTGGACCTTTTGGTGTGGCTTTCTGGACCTTTCTTTTGACAGCATTCCTCTCATTGTCAATAAAAAAAAATAATGGTAAAATAAACCTCGAGTGAATTATATACATAAACTGAACTGGTCTTATCTTACCTTACATGTTTGGACATGCCTTACCTTGATTTTGTTTTAATTTATTTAGTTTAAATAGAGATTCCTGACAAAGTCAAAAAGCTTTGATGCAGTATATATTTAGAAAAAAGGGTTCTTGGGGGGTGCTATATAGAACTATAGGGGTTCTAAGCAGAGTAAATAGAACCATTGCCTTCAAAAAGGTGCTATTTCTTTTAATTGAACCCTCTATAATGGTTCTATATAGAACCTTTGAGGGTGTCATATATGTACCAAGCTATAGAACCCTTAAAGGTTCAATATGGAGCCTTTTGTTTTAAGAGTGTGCATAAATATATGTGCTGCTTTCATGCATTTTTAAACTTAAAAACAGGTCGGTGCCGACCCTAACAGCACAGGAAGGTTAATAATGTCTCTAAGGACAGTAGGAAACAGGGCTCTTCGACCCTCGCTTCACCAGACGCTGCGGGTGGCGAGTCGTGTTGAGCAAAGTAGTTTTGATAAACCGCATCATTTTCATTATTAGCGTTGTTGATGTTGTCTATTTCATCTAATAAGGCTTCGGGTATAGGAGGGGATGATGCTCCGTCCATACCTGCTGATTCAGGTCTTTTGAAGATTTTCTCTTAACCGGTCCGTGCCGTCTCTCGTAGAAAAAAAACAGATACCGATTATTAGAATAAGTTATTTTAATGTATAGCGTTTATCATAAAACATGTATAAAATAAATAATATACTCACTCTATGGAAGTCCCATGTAGTTTTCTTTTTTTTCTTCTTTTTCCAGTGGGGTACTCGTGTTTCTTTACCAAAGGAGGAAAACCCGTACGGTGACCGCTCAGCATAATAAAAATATCTGCGGCTGGTTTTTAACTTTTATTTAATGAGAAATATACAGCCTGTCAAGTTTTAGGATACCGAGGATTATCTTATTTTCTTAATTATGTCTATTTGATGTACGTCGTGGTGTTTTTCTTTTAACTCATATTTGTACTTATGCGCAGACGATACGCTCGACCGAGGGATGACCTACCGGGATGTAACTAACGGCCGTATCAGAAAAACCAAAACTTCAAACAAAAAAAAAACATGTTATATACTGTAAGACAAAATGTCCAATTTGATATGTGGCCAAATTACAGTTTGACCCGGGGGTGACCCTCCTCCTCCTCTCATTCTTAGCGCCAACTTTCTCATTTTCACACAATTTCTTTCAGACTCGTGCAACACAGGGATAAGCTCCAACATCGCTCTCACAATCTCCGAGTCCTTTGCAGAATCTCCAAAGTCCTTACACGCTCTGGACCGACCGGGACCTTACCACAGTACCGCACCACAGGCGGACCCAGCGTACGCTCACACTCCATCAGGTAACCAACCCGCTCAGCTACGCGCTCAGCTCCGTGCTCGGCACCGTCAGCCATCACCCTCATAGCACGGGGCTATTCCGACAAATCACACTCATCAGCACACAATTCACTGCTGAAACTTCATTTCACTCTCCAAACTAGTCAAAATAAAATAAATAATTAAATAAATAATTTTGAAATAATAATAAAAATAAATAAATAAATAATAATACATAAATAAATAATAAACATATGGAAATTATTAACAACGTCACTAGTTGTTGCGTCACCTGGCTCCACCCCCACGCCCCCCCCCCAGTGAACTTTTGACCCGTAACCTTTTGACCTTTAGGTCATAAATCTTTTTGAAAGAAGCGGCATTCTCCATCTCTCTCTGGTGTACTGGCAGACAGATGGAACACTGCAGTGATTTCTAGTTCAGTAAATACCTCAAATATAACTGCTACTTTTCAGTTGTGTGAGAGTGGATCACAATTGTGATCATATTCTATCCATCCCAGTAGATCATAAGCTTGCTCCCCGTTGTGCACCTACATGTATCCTTCTAAATTTTCCATGCAGTCTGGCTACTGTTCATGCACACAGTGATGATGACGACTCTGCATACTCCTGCATGTTTACGTGGACACTTACCTCACGGACACTGCAATCGTCCCTTGTCATCTCCTCTATGGGCTCCTGCAGCACCAGCTCAGTCTCTGCCCCAATATCCAGCCCTGCCCCTTTTCGCACCCACCCATCTCCTGGGAAGATGGCGAGGGCTGCATGCTTTTTCCAAAAGGCATCTGCATCGTCGAGAAGTTGCACTGGAAGGATTTGGGCATCCTATGACCCACATTATCAGGAAAGATAAAGACACAATTCATATTTCCACCTACGTAATATTAATCGCCTTCGTCCTTCCCTTACCTCACGTTCCACTGCTATTCTTGTTAACAGTCTTGTTACCACTCGCGTGGATTGTTGCAATTCTCTTGTCTTTGGTCTCTCTAAGAAATCTCTTCATAAGCTTCAATTGGTACAAAATTCAGCTGCCCGTATTATCACCCGAACCCCCTCCGTCCACCACATCACTCCTGTTTCGCAGGAGCTTCACTGGCTGCCAGTTAAGTTCCGTATTGACTTTAAGATCTTGCTGTTAACATTTAAGGCCGTCCACAACCTTGCCCCTCCATACCTGTCCGACCTTATACAAGTTGCCACTCCCTCTCGCACCCTCAGATCCTCGTCCTCCGTCCATTTCACTATCCCCCTCACCCGTCCTGCCACCATGGGGAGCAGAGCTTTCAGTCGCTCAGCTCCTCGGCTGTGGAACTCATTACCATCTGAGCTCAGAAACATTGACTCACTTCCACTCTTCAAATCGAAACTTAAAACCCATCTGTTCAAACTGGCTTTCTCTCTGTGCATTCAGTGGCTTTGTTTAATTTAACTTATGTTTTTATTCCTGTTTTTTTGTATTATTATGGTTTTATTATTTATATTGTTCTTTTGCATTCACTGTACGGTGTCCTTGAGTGTCTAGAAAGGCGTCTATAAATAAAATGTATTATTATTATTATGATGATCTCTGTTACTGAATGTTCTCTACCTGTAACTGTCTTAGATGTTGTGAATGTAAACATGACTTTGGGGGATGTAGGGGGACACAGTGTCGAAGGCAGAAGGGGGGGGGGAGACTTACTAGTGCAGGGAGTGAGAAGAAGCTCCTTGGGGGCGACCTGGTGATGAGATGGATGTTCAGCCAGCACCTGGGACTGAAAGACAGGCGCCTAAAAGGTCCGACTCCATGCCACAGTCCCAAATGTTGCCAAAATACTTGTCATTCTCATTGTTCCATCCATAGTGTAAAAAAGGGATGCCCCCCCCCCCCTTATGCATGGCACATACCATGGACACAGTCTCCACCAGTGGGTCTGCTATCTGTGCCTGCATTGCATCATGGGATATTTGCACCCCCGGGTCAATGAAGAGCAGCTGGCGTCGGCGCCCTTGTCTGTCCCCCGGGGGGTTCATGTGCTGAGGAACCGAAAGGATAGAGGGGATAAAGGAGGGGAGGAGTCAGGGGGGGGGCATCCTCTTCCACCACGTGATAAATGCTTCTCTTTCGCAGACTCGCATACCGGCTCTATGGACTGACACACCCCTCTCTGAGGCTCCGCCCCCAGCTCCCTGTGTCCACGTGGGGACATTGCGGGTGCCTCTGTGAGGGGCGGGGTCAGCTCTGTGGGGACGCTCCCCAGCTGGACCTCGACGGGGAGGCCCATGATTTCATCCGTTATCCACATGCTGTCCTCCACCGCCGTGTCCTTGTCTCTGTGAGAGACCCAGTTAAAAACAAACCTAAGATATGGCGCTATAACGGGCAGGAGCGACAAGCCCACCTGAGGGTGTCCAACGTGGTCCATCACCCAGTGACACTCACCGCTCCATGGAGATCTGGGCTGGTGACGGCTCCCTTGTGGCTTCCTGTCTTGCCATCCTCTCAACCCCCCCTGCTCTGAAACACAGCCCCCAAGCCCGCCGATAAGCACAGACTCCTCCTGAGAGGGACCCAGCAGCAGCACTACCTAGAGTAATCACCTTGCAAAAAGGCATCCTTCTGCTCCATCAGCAGCTCGATCTCTTTGGCCGAGACCTCGGGAAGCTCCTCCCCTTCCAACTGGTGGACAGGAGGGGTGAGGGGACATGAGTGAGAGGCCAGCATCAAGGTCACGTGATGGCGTGTGTGTGCGACATTAGCCGGGGAGGCGGGGCTTCCGTACCTCGACCGCCGGGATGGGAAAGCACTCCTCCTCCTTCAGAGTGATGAGACGGGGGGGGGGGGGGGGTACAGTGAGTCCCTCTGAAGCCACATAGTAGGACAGTTAACACAGAGCACACACTTGCTATTGGCTGTGCTCCTTCTTAGCAGCACACAGTTAACACAGAGCACACATAACCTCATTACCTTGTTCTGGGGTAGTTTTATGACTTGTCACTGGGGGGCACAGAGTACTACTCGATGTTTCATACTGCCGTAGCTGTGCATAGAGGGACAGTAACAGTTATATACCCAAAATCATATGACATGTCTCTGTGTAGCTTGCTACTTTCTGTATCGTCTGGCCTGAGGTCTCGCTGTGCTGTTGGACAGGAGGCCAAGGACTTACCCTGAACTTCCTGAGTAAAACGCTCAGCTGAATAAAGGATCACAGTTAAAAGCAAACTGCCATAATAAAGTGTAGGAAAGTGGTGCCCTGTGCAGGGCTCGGTGCTTGCCTGTGCCAGATGGTTTGGGCTGGGCAGTGTTCGTTCTACACCCATTACTCCAAAGAATGGGTCCAGCGCCCCCTCAGCCTCCTCCAGCAGTAACAGGGGGTCGGGGAACGTCAGGTCTGACCTGTGGGGAGCGTGAGAGGTGGAGCAGAGAGGCAGGGTGAGTGACACCAGTACTGTCACCGCCAAACGTGTGGCCACAGGGCCGCTTGCGCTGACAGGCAGACAGATTCAGCCCCTTTCAGGATGCAGCTCGGCAAACCTGTCGGGCTCCACCATGTCGATCCGCGCATGCCTCTCGCAGCCGTTCCAAGGCCCGGTGGACCTCCTCTGAAATGCCGGGGGGTACAATGATGCGCTTGCATGGTTTGTGAATCCTGGAGCACCCAAACAGAATCAGACATTGGCTACAGATGCCCTTGGCGTGGGTCTCACCCAGGAAGAAGGCACACTGCCGGTGGTAGATGACGATGATGCCGTACTGCAGCTGGCTGGAGAGGTAGAGCGAGAATCTGGGCCGGGGCCGGCCTGGCTTCACCAGTATGTAATCCATCGTGTCCACACTAAAACAGAAACAGGTTAACCAACACACCACCAGCATCAGCTATACACGACACATAACTGACATTACACAATGAACACCCACACCCAGAGTACGACACAAACACACACAAGCTCATAAAGCAAGCCCTTACCATGTGCGTCCCACGTTCACCGTGAGGAACTCCCGCCGACTGATTCGGACCCCCTTGGTGGCGGCTAGCCTGCATAGAACCAGTCAGAGTGACAAAAGTATGTTCAACAAAGCAAGACTACAAGAGACCTGATCAAGGTAAGATTGTCATTGTCATCTGTTCAAGTACAGTTACATAGGAATTGTTTCGTTTTCACTTTTCATAGTTCTTTCCTACGAGCACACAAACACAGGTCAGAGTACAGGTTGTGAACACAGCCCAGACGTCAAATAATCAGACCATAAGAGACCCGACCAGGGTGTAACTTTCCAATAAGACTGAGAGCATCGATCATGCCATGTCACCTAAGCACAGTATTAATTGCATATTCGACAAAAAGCCCTGTGTCATGTATTTCATATATTTCAATGCAGATTAAAATAACCGAGGCAATAAGATATGTCTCACCATATAGTGGCGAAGCAGCCAGTGTGACGATGTAAAACAGTGGGATAATAGAACATGTTATCCTGTCCTATCGCGTCTTCAATGATGTAAACTGATGCCTAAGACGTGCTTTATTTGTTCAGTCTTCTAACTCGTATAGTTTACCAATAATCAGCGGCATTAAACACCGATGGGCACCAACAGTGTGGTACTCGCTCTGCCGCCAATCAGCGCTCTTATTCAGGTGACCGCTAGCCAATGAACTCTGTCATCCTGGGCTCTGCTGGCCAATCACATCGCTCCGATTTGTACGACAGTCCACGCGCGGTGGAATTGGAAGGTTACTCGCTTTTCTGAAGGAGCCTCTGATGAAGTACATTGCGAGTAGCTTATGAAATAATTAATTGGGAAGTTATTCAGATACTTGACGCTGTGGTTTTTATATGCGCTTTGTCGAAAACGTCAAAGGAGGTGAGGCTAAAATATTGCCTTTCACCAAAATCAAGTCTGTCATGCATCAAAATCTGAACCGGTATGCTGGGTTGCCAACTGTCACGCATCCGGCATGACGCTCACACTTTCAGGCTCCCGCGCTCACGCAAGAAATCTTACGGCAAATCTATATTATTCCAAACCCAAAATTAGCTGCATCGAAAGCGTTGGGGTAGTTTGCAAACCATACCGACTATTCATAATACAATAAAACTGTTAAATACATATAAATTCGTGCGCAGTCTTGTCTCGAATTGAAAATCTCTCGCCAGCCAACTGATCAAAGTTGGCAAACCTGAGCATGTGTCCGTACTTCAGCTTACAGGTAGAATCCTGAACAATGTTAAATATTGTTTTATCCGGTATATGTTTTATTACTTATAATCTGAATTGGAATGGGTCTGTACATTAGCTCGTAGTCAGTACGCTAGACAGTGCTTAAATATAGTTTTGTTAAATAGATTTTTGATTGCTTATAATCTAAACGGAATTGGGTTGGTACTTCAATTTGGAGTCATTACACTGGACAAGGGAGCTACATATTTTGGTCCCATGAAAGCATATCAGATTTGCAAGGTTGCCAACTCACACGCATCTGGCGTGATACTCACGCTTTCACATGCTCACGATCACGCAAGAAATCTCTTTATTGTCATTGTACAGAGCACAACGAAATTGAATAGCAGTCCTTTCGAATGCGTTCACACGTAACAAATATCAGTTAAAAACAGGAAAAGCTACAAATTAAAACTAATTCAAAGTACTAAAAAGAATGCATTTTAATATACATATAACTGTGTAAATATATTTGTGTGGTTTTGTATACAAGTAAATGTAATCTGAATAGCAGCTGAAGTATTGCACTCCAGGACAATGCACAATGTGGCCTGGATTACTGTTAATGTAAAAGGAAATATATGTACACAAGTGCAAATAGAAACAAGGAAATAAATATGAACATAGATGTAAATATGTAAACATAGATATAAATATGAAAGTGAAAGTCAGTGCAGAGTACTGTAGACACAACTGTAAGTGTTGTTGATCACACAGGTCAGAAAAACAATGTCATTCTTTGGCAGTGTTCAGTTCTCGTATGGCTTAAAGCTGTTGGTCCGTAATGGGATAGAGCTGAAATGTCTACTGGAAGGCAGAGTCAAACAGATGATGTCCAGGGTGAGATGAGTCCTTCAGTATGTTGGCTGCTCTGCTGAGACAGCAAGGGCTGAGTAAGTCTTCCAAAGAGGGCAGCGGGCAGCTGACGATCTTCTGGGGTGTGTTCGTGACCCTCTGAAGTGCTCTCCTGGCTGCTGCTGAGCAGCTGGTATACCGTACAGAGATACAGTATGTCAGCACACTCTCGATGGCGCAGAGGTAGTAGGACACCAGCAGCTTCTCATGCAGGTTGTTTTTTCTGATGATCCTTAGGAAGTAGAGTTGCTGCTGTGCCTTTTGACCATTGTGATGGTGTTTATAGTCCAGATGAAATCTTCAGTGATGTTCACATCCAGGAACCTGAAGACAGGGACCCTTTCCACACAGTCCCCCTTGAGATATAGTGGGTCGGGGTCTGCAGTATTCTTCCAGAAGTCTATTATGAGTTCCTTTGTTTTTGAGGAGTTCAGGGTGAGATAGTTCCTTGTATACCACATTGACAGTTTTTGGACTGCATCCCTGTCTCATCTGTTCCTGAGATAAGTCCAGCCACAGTTGTGCCATCTGTGATCGTGATGGTGTTGGTGAGGTGGATTGGGGTGCAGTTGTGTTGTAGTTGAAGACAGCATAGAGAAGGGGGCTCAACACATAGCCCTGTGGAGTGCCGGTGCTGAATGTAATGGTGGGTGAGAGGTGAGAGCCTAGTCTGACATTCTGGGGGAGGTTAGTCAGAAAGTCCTTGATCCGGTGGGAGATGGACTGGGAAAGGTCTGTGAGTTTAGTTACCAGTCTGTCTGGAATGACTGTGTTGAAAGCAGAGCTGTAGTCTATGAAAAGCATCCTCACATAGCTCCCCTGGTGTTCAAGGTGTGTCAGTGCAGTGTGGAGAGCAGTGGCAATGGCATCCTCTATAGACACTCTGTAGGTGAACTGGAATGGGTTGAAGGTAGGTGGGAGGCTGGCTTTGATTTCTGCATGACCAGTCTCTCGAAGCATTTCATTATGACCAGCGTCAGTGCGATTGGCCGATAATTGTTGGGGCAGCTGATGACATTCTTTTGTGGCAGTGGAATGATTGTGGCAGACTTCAGGCAAGGTAGGATGATGGATTTTGACAGTGACAGGTTGAAGATCTTTGTGAAGACCTCAAAGAGCTGGTGTGCACATCCCTTCAGCACCCTTCCTGGCATGCCATCAGGGACAGCAGCTTTACTTGGGTTCATGGCTCTGAGCACCTGCCTCATGCTCCTGCACCTTGAGGATGTGACTGTCTCTGTGGACAGTTGTATGGCAGTTAGTCTAGTAGTTAGATATTTGCTGGATGCCCTGCCACATCCCCCATAGGTTGTTGTTGGTAAAGTGATCCTCAATCTTCCTCTTGTAGGCAGCGTTAGCCTCCACGATGCCTCTCTTTAGGCATTTTTATGCATTTTGTTACCTAAGGTTTTTGTATTTAGTAGAGTACAGTTGTTGTCTGCTTCTCCAAATCATGATTTTCAAAATCTTCTAATTTGTCATTTCAAAGCAATGCTGCAGTTGTGAGGAAGCTCTGTCAGACCATGTCTTAACAGTTTTTATGGTGGTTGGAGCTTTTCTCCTCAGGGGAGTGTAAGCTGGGGTTAGGAGTTTGGATAACTGGTCTGATCAATCTAAGTGAGGTAGTTGTGTTGACCTGAATCAATTCTTGATGTTTGAGTAAACTTTATCAATTGTATTTCTCCCCCTGGTGACAAAATTTATGTGTTGATGAAATTTAGGGAGAACTGTTTTTAAATTTGCATGGTTAAAGTCACTAGCAATTATATGGGTGGCAAATCTATATTCTATTATAAACCTAAAAGTAGCTACATCAAAAGTCATGAGGTAATTTCAAAACCTTATAGACTATTTATAAGGTAACAAAACGGTTACATACATGTAAATGCGTGTGCATGTGTGTGCAGACTTGTCTACTTGTCTCTAATTGAAAATCTCACTCCAGCCAGCTGACCAGCTGGGGGCAGTGTTTGTTTCAGTAAGGTTAGCGTCTGGGCCTTTGATTGGAAGGTCACTAGTTCAAGCTTGGCCTAGTTAGAATAGTCATGTCTGTGTGCCCCTGAGCAAGGTCTTTAACCCCCAACTCCATGGATGCTGCTGCAGGTGGCTGCCATTTGCTGCCAAGCTTGCTCTCACCTACATGTGTGTCCTGGAGAGCAAGATGGAATAGGCAAAGAGAAAATAAACAACATGTCATTATTATATTCCAATTTCTTTGGTCCCTGTCAACCAGGCACCCTTGGAATCCCTCCTTTTTACATTACTCATGACAGTTAACAGTTTTTAAATAGGTCTATAGTTTTATGGGGTATATGTTTTATTACTTAAAATCTGATCCGTGCTGGGTCGGTACTTCATTAGTAGAAGCTTTAATTTAGATATAAAAGCATAGCGCGTGTAATCAGGGCGCCGCAGCAGGACCCGGCAGCAGCGACTCGCGCCGCTTCCGGTTTCATCACTGGCGCCGCCCCTGACGCGCGAGGGCTGTGGCCGCGCTAGCGTCCTGCCTGCAAACGCCCACCGCCGTCGAGCAGCAGCGGACAGTGGTGCATTTCAGCCCGGACGGGACCGCAAAATGGCGTATCAGGGCCAGTATCGACCGCCCCAGTTCGGCGCCGCTCCACCAGACCAAGGCTTCCTGTGGAATATATTTCAGAGGTGAGGGAGTGCCGCTTCCGCGTTCTAGGCCGGACACCGTCCGGTGTGCGGAATTCCGACTGGCAGCCTTCAGAACGTCTTCCCGGTGTCGCATGATGCTGCGGTCGTCCGTCAGTGCGGATCAGTGCGGTGTTCACGGGAAGGTGGGCTGACACCGCCGTGGGGTTACGGACGTGTTTCGAGACGTGGAAGATCGTCCTTCTTCTTCCTCATTTTAATGAATAACAGGCATTATGCACAGTGAAGGACTGGGCGTACGCGCCGGAGGGAACACGGACAGCTGGAAAAGTCACCAGGAGAGTCATTTAAGTAGTGATTACTGGGGATGTCCGCGGGTGTTGCTCGCTGCTTTCGACACTGCATCTGGACCCAGGGTAGCAGCTTTGGAGGGAGTGAATTGTACTGTTCCAGGCACTTTTCCCTGGTTTTTGAGTGTTTGTGAGTCACAGCCTGGTTACTAAGGGAATGTATGAGTCACTGCAGTCTTGTGGCATAGTTACTGTTATGCCATATTTACTGCTGTTTCGTCACTCTGCCGTGTGTGAAGGAGGTCTGCTTCAGTCACGGCCGAGCGGCGCTGCAGTTTGCTGTGTGGTCCAGCGGGAGCGCTCTCGCTTAGTGGGCGGCCAGCGTTAAGGCATCTTAACGTCTCCCTGGGCTGGTGCCAGAATGTGGCTGGAACCCTGATTTTAGTTTTCACATTAAGGTCAGGGAGTTTCCCACCACTGAGTTTTGTGACACATCGTGACCGAATGTAATTTAAGGAGTTACACTTATGTCTGCTGTAATGTGAGACATTTAAGTTTAAGTGGTATCTCTCAAGTAGACAAGAATCCATCTTCCCGTGAGATACAGACCTGTTTGCCTGCATGCCTCTGTAATGGGGCGGATTAATGAATAGACTTGCACAGGATGCAGCCTGGAGGGATCAGCCCCCCCCCCGACCATCTAGTTTTTAAAAAAATGACTATTAAAAAAGAAAAAAAAAAACCCTGTATGGGTCATTTATTTGTTTGCGAGTTGGTAATTGACTAAAACTGAATGGGGAGACCAGTTTTTAAATGTCTCTTTTATGCTGTTGTGTATTTTCTGGTATGTGTATGACTGATGTGGAACTTTAAGTTTGC